AGTTGAAGATGGAAGACCAAACTGTGCATTTTTGCCATATTTTACTGTTTTACTTCCATAAAGGGAAGAACGTGCATCAAGCTTGTGAAAAGTTGCATAAAGCTTACAGTGACAATGCTCTACAAGAACATCAGTGACAACAATGGTACACGAAATTCATGCTGGTGATTTTTATCTGAATGGTGCTTCTCAGTCAGGGAGCCCCACCAAGGTTGATGACAACAAAATAAAGGCATTGATCGAGTCAAACCCACGTTATATGACACGAGAGATTGCAGAAACATTGACCATCCATCATTCAAGCATTCACGACCACCTGAAGAAGCTGGGACATGTAAGCAAGCTCGATATTTGGGTTCTGCATGAACTGGAAGTTCATTTGACAGTGTGTATAAACATTTGTAATATGCTCATTAAACATGAGGAAAACAATCCTTTTTTGAAGCGACTGATAACTGGTATAAGTGGATTGTTTACAATGATGTGGTGCACAAACAGTCTTGGTCCTGATGTGATGATTCGCCTCAAACGACATCGAAAGCAGACATTCATCAGAGGAAGGTTATGCTCTCAGTGTGTTGGGATTTTAAAGGTGTTGTGTTTTTCGAGCTCCTACCAAGGAACCAAACAATCAGTTCAAATGTGTACTGTTGGCAATTGGACTGTTTGAATGAATCCGTCATTCAGAAATGTCCAGAGCTTGTTAATTGTAAAGAACTTGTGTTCCATCACAGCAACGTGAGACCACACACAAGTTTGATCACCCGTCAAAAATTATTAAAGCTTGAATGGGATGTGTTGCCACACCCACCACACTCGCCTGACCTTGTGCCATCAGACTTCCTCTTGTTTGCTCTCTTCAAAACTCCTTACGTGGTATAATGTTCAATTCAGATGAGGCTGTAAATCAGCACCTTGTTCAGTTTTTCAAAAATAAAGACAGGTCCTTCTATGAACGAGGAATTATGAAGCTCACTGAAAGATGGCAAAAGGCTATCAAACAAAACGGGCAATATATCATTGATTGATCTTTGTTCTTTATATAAATACATGTTCTTTGAAAAACATAGACAAAATATGTCATGACTTTTCTGACAACCCGATATATAAGCAATTCTACAAAAGTAACAACTTTTAAAATGTGGTGTTTGTTCTCCCAGCTTTTATATATAAATTAGATGATAGATCTGCACTGCTTTTCTCAATTGAGCACATGTTTTTATTTTTTTGTTTTTAAGATTTTATTGGGAAATTGGGGAAGGGAACATTGTGTTTTTCCAGGGCCCATCAGCTTCAAGTCAAGTTGTTGTTATTCCCTCTTAGTTGTGGAGGGCACAGCTCAGCTCCAAGTCCAGTGGCTGCTTTCAATCTAGTTGCGGGGGCGGGTGGGGACATGCAGCCCACCATCCCATGCAAGAATCAAACTGGCAACCTGGTTAAGAGCACACGCTCTAACCAACTGAGCTGTCCAGCTGCCCATCGGATGTGGCCACTCAAGCTCAAGGTGCCGTGTTCAATCTTAGTTTTGGGGGCACAGCCCACCATCCTATGTGGGAGTCTAACTGGCAACCAAGCACACACTCTAACCAGCTGAGCCATCCAGCTGCCTATTGGCAGCTCAGTGGCAGCTCAGCTCAGGGTGCAGCTCACTGGCCCATGTGGGAATCGAACCAGTGACCCTGTTGCTCAGAGCTCGAGTTCTAACCAACTGAGCCACCCGGCTGGCCCTCAATTGATCACATCTTTATATGGACACATCAGCCACACTCTTTAATAGCTACTGAATATGCCATTGTATGGATATATTTTGGTCTGTATCTAATGTTATGTTGACAGGCTTCCAGGTTTTTAAAAATAATAGTAAACATGACTTTGGTAGATATCCATGACATTGCCCATCTGCAAGTATTTCTGTAGAAGACGCTTCTAAACTGGAAGTCCTACATGAAAGCACATATGTCATGTAAACTTTGATGCAGCAAATTGATCCCCTAAAAGTCTGCTTAAAAGGCCATCCCCAATGATAGTGTCTATTTTTCTGTCCTGCTAGCAACACAAAATTCCTTCAAAAAATTGCCAAATTGATCAAAATAGTGCCGTGATTTAATATCTGTTTTGCATTCATTCTATCAGTGGGTTGGAAACCATAATTGCATATTAGCATTTTTATTTCTTTAAAAAGGACAGTTCTTCCCCCACTTCCTCATTTTTCTAGTGGGTGCTCATTTTCTTCCTGTTGATTTGTCAGAGCATGTCACATGTAGAGGATGACCTCTTGGTCTGTCACATAGATGGTAAGTCTTCTCCCTCATACAGTTTTTCTTTCTTGAGTTTGTGTGGTGCTTACATGCTTAGCTTGACAGTACCTGGATGGCAAGACTCATCCCCAACTTGGTTGGGTCAAAGGGTGTCCCTGCTGTAACAGCCACCTGAGATTTTGATCTAACAGTTTTAGATTTCACCAAACTATAGCTGCATAGAAGAGAAACTGAGGCGAGCAGGAGGAGGTGACTTGACTCGTGGTGAGGGAACAGGTCCTAGAAGAATCACCCTTTGGTCCATAAGATCCATTCCTTAAAGGTTGATCAATCAAGTCTCAGAATTTACTCAATCCAAAATGATAGTTCTTTTCTCTGGAATGTTGGACATTTGAGAAACGCAGCCTTCTGAGATGCTTGATAATCTGATAGAATGTTGCCCAAGACCCCATCTCCAGAAGATGTCTCTTGGTGGGCAAAAGAAAGTACTTCTGCATTCTTTCCTGGTGATTTGGATTTTATAGACAAGAGAACCGGGATTCAAGAAGTATCCACAAAGTGTCACAGCCATAAGTATCAGTTCTAAATATTGAAAAAAATGTGAGGGCAGTTCTTGATATTCCTACTGTAATGCTTTCTCTAGCAGAAACTTTATATATTTTAAAACTTTATATATTTTATATTTATATTTATATATTTATGTAAAATATGCATTTAATTTATATATTAAAATATAATAAAAATATTAAATGTATATTTAGATATTTACATAAAAATATTTAAATATGTTATATATTTATATTTAATTTTTATATAATTTATATATTTATGTAAAACATATAATTTGTATATTTTAATGTAATATATGTTAATATATTTAATGTATATATTTAGATATTTACATAAAATATATTTAATTTATCTCTATAAGTATGTTTATATATATATATATAATTATTTTGCTGGTATGTGGAATCATCACCCACCCCGATATTTAAGACAAAACCCTAGAATGCATGCACAACTCCATTTTTCTTAGCATTCCCCACCCCCTTGTTATAAATCATTAGAAGTTCTATTGGTTCCATTCTCAATATCCATTTCTTTTATTTCTAAGTCTGTGTTCTAGTCCTTTCAAGGCTCTAAGTTCCTTCACAAAAGAACTGGGGATCTGTGGTTGTGTTATGTTATCCATGGTCATGTTTGACTAAACAGACCTGCTTTTACTTAGATACAGGCATAGCTTTCTCACCTAGTCTTCTTGCCTCGTTTCTTGGACCACAGTCCCTTCTTCAAAGAATGGCAAACTGTAATACTTGTAAACTATGGCTTTTCAGCCCTAGGCCTTCAGAATGAAGATGGTCATGACCTAGTCCCTTCCCACCATTGAGTTCACTCCCTACCAGGCCCATCCATCACTGTGCTTTAGAATGTTCTCATTCCCATCTCAAGGCATTTGCACTCATGGTTCCCCTGCCTGAAGGCATCTCTTTCTACATCCTGGACTGGCTTCTTCTCATGATTATGGTGTCAACTCTCATCTGGAATCTGCTGATCCCTTCCCCCTTCTGAAGGCATCTTCCACCTCTCTTGTGTTGTCCTAGGGTTTTTATTTGTGTATGTCATCACACTATTTAACTTTTGCGACTTTCCACCATCACACCCACCCCACCTCCCCAAAGTTAGACCCTTGAGGCAGAGATTGTCTGTCTTGTTCAAGGCGACTCACTATTGAATAATTCCTAATGTTGTCATTTTTCCGACCGCTGTTGTGTTTTGTCACACTTCTCTGGTTAGTCCACAGGAGAACATACAGAGAGAGGATGAAGGCTAAAATGCTGGTGATGTGGGACAATATCCATTGGCCAGAAGACCATATATACCTCTGCAATGTTACAGAGCATGAGCATGAAGTACTGAAGCGCCTGGTATATCCTAACAGGACTGGAGCCCAGCCCCAGACAATAGTCTTGGAGGGGATGGCAGGGGTTGGGAAGACTACCCTGGCGGTGAAGGTCATGCTGCACTGGGCAGAGGGCTTTCTCTTTCACCAGAGGTTCTCCTATGTTTTCTACATCAGCTGCCATCGAGTGAGAGAGATGAAGGACACCACCTTTGCTGACCTGCTTTCCCAGGACTGGCCCAAATCACAGGCCCCCATTGAAGAGTTTATGAGTCACCCAGAGAGGCTACTGTTTATTATTGATGGCTTTGAGGAAATGACCATGCCCTCAAACTTGGCTGACAGCCTACAATGTACAGACTGGTACCAGAAGCTCCCGGTGGCCAGAATCCTATTCCACTTGTTGAAGAAAGAACTGGTCCCCACGGCTACCTTACTGATCACGACCAGGGACTATAGTAGTAAAGATCTTAAAAAGTTGTTATTGAACCCACAATTTGTACTAATCTCAGGGTTCACAGAGGGAGACAAGGAGGAGTATTTCTTCAGGTACTTTGGGGACCAAGACAAAACCAGGAAAATCTTGCATTGGATACAAAATAACAAAACTCTATTTCATTCCTGCTCTGCCCCCCTGGTGTGCTGGATTGTGTGTTCCTGCCTGAAGCGACAGATGACAAGATGTCCTCATTTCCAGCTGAGCACTCAGACCACTACCAGTCTGTATGCCTATTTCTTCTCCAGCTCTTTCACAACAGCAGACTTCAATTGGTCAGAGCAGAGCTGGCCAGAGCAATGGAGGGCCCTCTGCTCTCTGGCTGCAGATGGGATGTGGTCTTCAAACTTCACATTTGCAAAAGAGGACATAGAACATCAGCACCTGCAGGCGCCACTCATTGATTTTCTCTTCAGGCTGAATATTCTTCAGAAGGTCAGTGACTGTGAGAATTGTATTACCTTCACTCACCAAAGTCTCCAGGTGTTCTTGGGGGCTATGTTCTATGTGCTCAGGGGAATGGAAGGATCCACCGGGAGTCTCGCAACACATCAAGAGATGAGGGTGCTACTGAATGATGCCTTCACTGACAAGAACTTCTACTGGCATCAAATGGCTCTTTTTTTCTTTGGCCTCTTAAAAAGAGACCTAACAAGAGAACTGGAAGATACTTTGCATTGTAGGCTGTCTCCCAGGATAATGGATGAATTATTAGAATGGGCAGAGGAGTTATTGAAGTATGACATGGTTTCCTTCCATTTTGAATTCTTCACGTTTTTTCAGTGCTTATATGAAACGCAGGAGGAAAACTTTGTAAAGCAGATTTTGAATTACCTCCCTGAAGCTGACCTGGACATTTTAGGGGATCTACAACTCCAAGTTAGTTCATTTTGCCTAAAGCACTGTCAAAGATTAAGTAAGCTAAGGCTTTCTGTCAGCTGTCTCAACCCTCAAAAGGAGTCGACTTTCAACCAAGAGACTCTGAGGTGAGTAATGTGACACAATTTCTTTACCAATGTTCTCTCATCTTCACAGGCTCTGCCTGAGTTCTGTGAAAATCTGGGGCTCTGCTGCTGCTGCGGTGTTATCAATGGTTGCAATTGACCAAACATCATAGATCAGCCCCAACCTGTAAGAATATTTTTCTTTAGTTATCATGGTGGATTCCCTGGCTCCTTTAATTGGCCTACATAAAGGAAGATATTCTATCTCAAACACAGTCTATCAAAAAATTATGTGCCAGGCATTGTGCTGAGACATCTTCTGGAATCAAATTGATGCCCATAACTGAATGGAGGGCGAACTGTTATTGCTACTCACAGATAAAGAAACTGAAGGATGAGAACACAATTTGCTTATGTCCATGTGGCTGTAACTCAGCCTGGGAGTAACTCAGCCTGGATCAGTGCCCAGCTCTCTCTCCCAGAGCTCCAGATCTTAATCAAAATGCTGAATGTTGCCCCTTTGAATGTGAGCTGGGGTGGGAGCAGGGCAAGTGGTGTCATGTAAACCCTAAAGTTCATTCTGATGAGTTTGTCCCTTTGTGTCCTGGAAGAAGTATTCTGGAAATACTTCACCTACTTTGGGTTCCTATCCTATGACCTTGTCCCATCACTGACACTAATGACTTCTGGCTTAGGAAATAAGGAAACCTGACTGTTCTGCTGATTATTTCAGGTCCCAGATATGTTTCTAAACTATTCTTATAAGATAGGGTCTGCTAAATGTGTTCTCAAATCCTTGTTTAACCCTCAAACCTGCAAGAAGTACCATTTCAATTTTAGTTGAACAAGTTGAAATTTCAAGACTAATTTCTTTGTGTTCACCCAGATTGGAATATTAGTAAGGTGATGTGTCTGGAGTAATAAATATTTAATATATACTGGCTATCATTTGCCCAGTCTTGGAATGCCTAAAACCTAAATAGAAGACTTTATTTAGGTAGTGGTCCCTGTTGGGTCATGTCAGTAAGTGCTCTTACTACAAAGTGTTTTCCCAATGATAATTCCATTTTTTTGAGGATTAATACTCCATCAACATCATTCCTTCCTTGATGCATGATCACCCTAAGATTTAAAGGAGATTTCATGCCTTCTCCAAAGGTCATAATAGATCTTCTGATGTTAAGGTCATTTCCTATTTCTCTACAGCACAGCTTCTCACTGTTTTTCCTCAGGGATTTTTAACTCTGTATATTAGAATGAACTGAGATGTTAAACATATAAAGCACAGACACGCATGTGTGTGTGTGCATGCGCCCCTACGAACACACACACACACACACACACACACACACACACAAGGTTGGAAACAACTACTCTTACCAATGCTACAATTCTGGGCAAATGGAGTAGATATAGAGGAGGAACTTTATATCCTTCAGGTACTTTAGGAATATGTACTTTGTTTGACTTCCCTCATCTCAACTGAGATTAAAAAAAATATGACTTTAATGCCCTTTTGCTCTTATTAACATTGAAAGCCTACTGTATTGGGGAAATTCTAAATAATTAGAATTCTAATAATTCTAAATATTTGCATGAATCTTTAATCATCACAAAATCCTATGAGAGTAAGTTTCATTATGTGCATTTTAGAGATAGAAAATTGGAGCACAGAGGTGAAATAATACTATTGGGGGCAGAGTTCTGAATTCAGCTTAGGTCTGATTCACTTAAAGTCTGAACTTTAAAGGATTACACCTGTAGTCCACCTCACCTCACTTATGTGGTTGCTTCCTTCTAAAAAGAATTGTTGAGGATTGCAGGAATTAAACATCTGGTGTTTTGAGATTTATACTTTTTGCATTACAGATCTTTATATCCAGAATGTTACAGAATCCCCACACCATTTGTTGGGGTCTCTTTTTGCCTCCTCTAGGTGTTGGTTGAGGTTCATTTATTCATCAGCCTTCTCTCTTTCCCTCATAAAGAATGGAGCTTGTCAATCTCAAGATATGTCAGTGGGAGGATATTTGCTCCGTGTTCCACAATGGGAACCTGAGTGAGCTGGACCTGAGTAACAGCAAGCTGAATGCTACATCTATGAAGAAACTCTGCTATAAGCTCAGAAATCCAAGGTGCAGACTCCAAAAACTGACGTAAGTGTGATATGCTCAGTGTTTGATGAATACCAGAGGAGAATAACCCTCTTTTCCCCTTTCTATTTACTGCAGTATGTATTTGCCAGAAAGTAAGCTAGGTGCTCAGGAGAATAAAATAATTGTGCTTGTATTAGTGAAGCTGCTACTTAGGCAAAGTAGATTGAAAAAA